TATCGTCATCCACCACCAAATGTCGTGTTTACATTTGCAGTGGTCATTAAAAACAAATGAGAGAATAAGGATTCTGTGAAATAAGGCAATAAAAAATGGTGCCTCATCATCAGGGAAGCTCCTTCTGACCCACCTCAGCATTGGGATCTGCATTCTCAGAAATCCTCGCCAGGCAGGAGTGATCTGTGAATCTTGGAGCATGGTCGTTTACATCCTTGATCTGAATGGTAGCAGTTCCAGTTCCTGTCATCCCTCCCCCATCTCTGGCCTCCACAACCAAAAGGTAGGACTCGACCTGCTCTCTGTCCAGACCGCCCATGGCTACACTGATTGTCCCTGTGGTGGGGTTGATAGTGAACATTTCTGAGAAGGTAGGCACTCCTCCCACCCCGATGTTGGTGGCATCTAAACTACCCATAATCCTGTAAGAGAGCACAGCGTTCTGCCCGACCGCCGAGTCGTCCAGGTCGGTGGCTGTCATCTCCATCACAGATGTCCCCACTACAGAGTTCTCTGCCACGTCTCCGTGGCAGCTGGGTGCACAGGTGAAGACAGGCGCATTGTCATTGATGTCCCAAACATTGATGATGACATCGGTGAAGCCTGTCAGACCTTCGCCGCCCTCGTCTGTGGCCAAGACGACAAAACGCCACACGGCACGCTCCTCACGGTCCAGTGTCCGCTGGGCGTAGATCTTGCCTGTGACCTCATCAATTATGAATTCACTCTCTGCACCCTGGCCATGGAGAGAGTAACGCAGGGCCTCCTGGTCAGCATCCTTATCTGGGTCAGACGCTGTTACCTACAACATCAAAGGTGCAGCGAGACAGAGAGGGCTGATGAGAGTGTAATCACTTTTTACACTATTTAATTATTGAAATGTTGCTGACTTGGAGAGATATCTTAACTGGAAGCACTTCACAACTGTTCTGTGCAGTTATGAAATATCTGGTAGGTAAACCTGGCTATGATCCAACCTCCTCAACCCCAACCCCCACCTCCTGCCTCTCTTTGCTGTCTGCTCCTTCTTTCATTCATCCTCAACACCTCAGCAGATATTACACCCTGGGTAGGCCAAAGATGTTTCAATTTAGCACCTTAATTGCAGTGTGATGTAGAGCCAGAATTAACTTGTGTTCCGTTAAAAGAGTAGGAGATGTCCTTTTATATATGTAGAGGGAAAAGGGCATCAGGCTTACTGTTAACAGACTATATATACAATTAAATCTATATATTTCTATTACATATTTTTTCCCTTTTTGATTTTTGTGTATTTTTTTACCTCTCACTCTTTGTGTGTTGTATCTGGAGCTGCAGTAACAAGTGATTTTTTTCTGGTGTGGGATTAATAAAGTCTTAAGTCTTAAAATCTTATAAAAAATAAAATCAGTTTAAAAAAATTCAATCCCAGCTTCTTATTTCTAGCCTGCAACTGTCGACTCGCCGACTGAAATGTCAAATATTTTATCAGCTGTAGTTGACCATCTAATTAAATTAAGATTAGCTCCCTAATTTTTAATGATTCAAGGATGTTAAATATACACTTGATACATATAGAACATGCATGGTATTCTGTTAAAAGACTTAAGGCTTAAGCTACATGTCTCAGTAATGTGCTTCCTACCATGTCATCTACTGTAGATGACATGGTAGGAAGCACATTTGTTCTTGTATTGCAATTCTTGTAATTAGTTATTGTAAGGAATCAACTAAGGAAAACTGTAAGCATGTCTTGTAAGCGAGACAGATTTATGCTTCGAATGGCCAATTGCATGTGATTGCACAGATAGCTGAATAATGATTGGACTGTACCTGTAACACAAACACCGGCGAGCCATCCAGCTCCTCTGTTACGCTGCCGTAGTACTCGTTAACGGTAAACACCGGAGCTTCGTCGTTTTTGTTAACCACATTTACTGTCACTGTTGTGTAATCCTCCCACTTTCCATCTGAAGCCAGGACATGAAGCTTGTACCTGAGCAAAAGTTGTCAGCTTTGTCAGGGGCTTTCACAAAATAAGCAACAGTTTACATCCAAATACGCTTCGTAAAAAGCACTTGCTTTTTATGTTCTTAAACATGTAAACTCTGGAGGTATATTTGATTGAAAATATAAGCAGTGGAGTTTAAAGCTATGGCATATATACTGCCAGGAAAAGAAATTAAAGTAACAGGGAAAATAACACCACATATTTCAGGTAAAATCCTTTGACAAGCATTTATCTGAACCAAAAAGCAAACATTTGTGGCTCAAAGGATTCTTTCTTGAGTGTGTTCCTACCTTTTGTTCAGTTCATAGTCTAGAGGCTGGGCGATAAAGATAGTGCCCACCTCTGGTTCAACATCAAACACACCTCCTGTGTTCCCTGACGTGATCTGGTAGCGAAGCTTAGCGTTTCCCCCTGCAGAACAAGAGAAGATGGAGGTTGAATGAAGAATGACAATTTGTAAAAATGAACCTTAGTTACTGACAAAGCAGCGTCTATTAAGTCTTGTTGGAGCTGCAGCCATATTAGTACCTGATCCCCCATGGATTGAATGTCCCCATCTAGTCCATTGCTGTCTGTTTCTGCCAATCCACCAATTTGTCTCCCTTAACTGAGATAGATAGAATCAGCCTGCTTTAGCTGTCAGACTGGAATCAGATATGGAGTTTTTGGTGCTACCTTGCTGTTATGAGTGTTTAAACAGGCAGCCTCTGCCCTTATAAAGGCGATACCTGCAGCATCACAATATGATCTTCCCAACAATAAATGAAGTAAAAAGTCAAATATTTTAAAGCCATGCACAGATAAACTAAAGCCTGTCCCAGAAATTTGTATTGCAATGGATGTCTATACCTTAGAAAAAGCTTGAATGATGTTATTGTCTCTCCCTAAACCTGTTTGGTACCAGCAAAAAAACTAATGCTGAACTCTGAATTTTCACACAACACAGTTAGCAATCTTCTTTCAAAACAGTTCTTTCAATTACATTGAGTAGCGGTTTAGGACGAGAAACATCACAAACACAAATTTAGAAGCTGAAACGTTATAAAGTTTCTATGAAAATACTTTGGTAGCATTGACAAGATAGCATTAAGATAATTATGAATCAATTTCATAATAAAAGAAGAAGTATGATGTGTCAAAGTATAAACGCCTCTTAGTGGGCTTAAATGTATCATTAATACGTGATCCAAATGTCATATCTACGGCTGCTAAGGCTGTGTCTTCAGGTTTTAAGAAATGAATTAACATTCAAAATTGCAGCAATTTTCCATTTGAAGCCAGAAAAAGGTGATAACATTTCAGCTGTTTTTAGGGTGTAGGATGGATTCAATGACAGAAAACCTGAACAAAGTACTAAATTGAAAGTTCAAATCTTTTCTACATAGCTATGGGCAACATAGCTTGCCTAACTTGCTTAGAAAACAGCATTCAGCTCTCTTTTGAACTGAAGATGAATAGTGTTGAAAAGTTCTGAAGAACTCCTATTGTGCAGCCAAGTACAAAAGCTTGCATTGCAGTTACAAGTGCTATAGCTAGTGAATTCACTGGCAGAGCAAGTAATGCTTGTATTGACACAGACGAATGCAGAGATTCACATAAGTAGGATTAATACATGGATCTACTTTAACACATCTGTCAAGCACAACACATGGTATTACTGTACACACAAACTTAGAATCTAATCAGATCCTGTGGCTTTTAGGACTTAAGCAGTAAAGTGCATTTACTCTGTCTCCCAAATGTCAGTAAAATACAAGAATGCTTAAACACAACAGAAACGTTTTCCATTGAATTATTAATACTCCTTTGTTCCAAGCAATCTACAATGTAATGCTAAGAAGTTCCCCTCCTTGTTCTCCCCCTACCACACTTAATAATCTATATTCTTTTTAAGCTCTGCAAAGCATTTTTAATAAAGTCTATTAGATGCTGATCAACAAAATGTTTCCTCTCAATGCAATTACTGCTAAAGCCAAGGACTGCATCTCAATCACCGTTGCATCTACCACCCCTCGTGTTAATATAAAAGGGAAAGGAGAAACCTCTGAAGACGAGATGAGATTCACAGCTTATTAGCAAGACAAAAGTGAAGGAAGGAGAAAAGAGAATGCACTAATCCAGATCGTTTTGTACGGTCTGTCTGTTGGCATATTAAATGAGACTTTAGGGGATATATGCAATTGCATCCCTTCTTCTCTCTCACCCTCTTTCTGTTTTTTTCTAGTTGTCTCGATCTCTTAAGTATTTAGAAAACTGTTGAGACCCAAAGGACAACAGAAAAAGCACAAGAAGTGATACAACTGTTAAAATAAACAAACAAATGAAAAGAAAATGAATCTTTTTTCCCAGTTGTACCAATTTTAAAACTCTTTTCATCTCCCTGGTTGCTGTGTGAAACTGTAGTATACAGTCAAAAGAGGAAGTGGGGAAAGACACACACACAAACAGGACAACATATGTATATGTAATACCAAAGACATCGAACATCTCATGCACTTTAGAAACGGATTTGGAGAGGTTCCAGTTCTGCACTATTAAGAATACAGATGTTAATGTAGCTTGTGTTTCAAAGCAGAAAAGTTTACTTACAATATGTTGTATCAATAACCTGTAACTTTTGTAGAATAGGTGTCACAATGCAAATCTGTTCTCACTCCCAGCCCATCAAGTACTGCAGCTTGGTCAGTAATATGTAACATCTGATTACATTTTCAAATGTTGTTGTTAATGTTTGGTTAGGTTTAGGCACAAAAACTGTTTGCTTTGGATTAAGAAAAGATCATAATTAATGTTGCATAGTCAAGACTGGTGATAACAGCTCATGGTTGCTGGTTGTCATAGTAATGCAACAAGCTTTCTTAAACAGTTTTCCAGGTGCACAGCACTCAGTAAACAGTGACTGAAGGAACAAGCAACGGAATGATTTGTCACTGTAAATACAGAATCAAAGCAATTCTGATACATGTCTGCTATAAACACAGTCTGACATGACTGAACCTGAGCTGGAACTAAAGCCTACGTTAAAGCTACTGGGGTTTACAATTTTTATGGAGAGGGAAAAAAAGATGGCTCCACACTGGAAGCAAGAAAAACTGTCAGATGTGGCAATGGTACCAAGTGAGCTCAAGGGACATCTTGAGACAAGGCAGGAATGGATGCCTTAAAAAAATTGGGGGGGATCATTGCTTTAGAATAATACGCCACTTTAACAATCAAATACTCATAGGTGACAGATTAAGAAAAAAAGCTAAATAAATGAGTAGGGAAACAAATACAGGTGCTTTCATACAGGACAGGAGTACCCTTTAGTTCAAGGGTAGACCCAAATGTGAACAGGACAAACAGGGAAGGTTGAATGAACAGAAGATAACTTTAATGACTTTAATGAATACTAGAGGTGGAAACAGAACCAGGCAGGGCAACACAAACTAACGAAATGTGGCTAAGGAATCAAAAAAACAATCAATAATTTCAACAAGAGAAGTCCATCGAAACAAAACAAAAAAAACAGACACAGGGAAGATAAAGGACTGGGAACAGACACAGATGACTTCACAATTGAAAGAGGGAAAAACATGGACTAATGCACAAAGCACTAATTAACAAATGAAACACAGATAAACCTAATCAGGACTGGGTAGACAATGAAAACTGGTGGGAAACACAAGACACCGGAAATAGGAAAATGACTCAACTAAAACCCGCAACCATGACAAAAATCACAGACTGGTAATGAGAAGTTAATTCATAAATGATAAAGGATCAAGGTTGCAGAACAAAATGAAAGTTCATGCTACCTACACATAAATCACAACAGATAATTCAATTTAAATCACAATATAAACATATAAAATCAATTGCAATTAATTATATAGCCATATTAGCCGTGTCATATACACAAACGTTGTATTGTCCTCATTACTGGCAGCAGCAGAATACAACTTCTCCAATCTATTCCTCCGTTACCAACTTAACCCTCAATACACCTCACAAAAGAAAAAAAAATCAAACACGTTATTGCTTCCTCCATCCCTCTCAGTTGGTGGTAATAACTTTATTCTTGACTCTAGCAAGGTTTCCTACACTTACACAACTAAGTAAGTACTTAGGCATCTTCTCATGATCTGTGTGTGTGTGTCTGTGTCTGTGTGTGTGTAGCTGTTGAGGGTTATTTATCACAGCAAAGTGTGGGGTTCACAGCAGGCCTCCGCACTCTACTATGATAAAT